TAAAATTTTATTAAAAAAATTTAAAATTTAAAAAAAGTTGCAGGCAAATTTGGCTGCAAAACAATTTAAGGGATAGATATAGCAGCTAATATAGAACTTTAAAGCAGACTATTTAAATTAAACAACCAAAGTTGTATATATAGCTAGTTGTACTTTTATTACTAAACCTATAACCTATCTGCAAATCTAATAATAAATCACTAACCAAAAGGTTACTTTAATATTAAAAAAAAAAATCTAAAATATAAAGAAAAAAGTTGCAGAGATAATAAGATAATATAACATGATATAGAATTGATAATATAAATTAAAAAAAGATAAATAAATATATTAAAAAAAGAAAATTGTTTGAAAAAAAGAAAGCAAAAAAAAAGACAATTATAAATTTTATTAAAAAAGTAGAAAAAATAGAAAATTAAGAAGAGGAAAAGCTTAGTAGTATCTTTATAATTTTGGTAAATAAAATTAATAAAAATAGTAGAACTTTATAGTAAAAAATAGACATACAAGCAGATATTGATAAGTTAATTGAAAAAACCTGTTATAGTTATTTTTTAAAAGTGAAGAATAATATAAAGATCTCATGAGAGAAGTTTTCAAAAATTTTCTTTGTTTTGCTAGTTTTATACTACAAAATTTTATCTTAATATGTTTTTTTTTGGTAAATATTAGGTCTTCTTGATTTTATCTATATTTAAAATTCAAACTTCTATTTTTATTATTAATTATTAAGTCAAATTCTAAAAATCTTATTAATATTGCTTAACTCTATTATAAAAAAAAAGAAAGAAAAGGGTAGTGGCTTAGTGAAGTAGTCTAGTCATCACCCTACCAAGCAACAGATTCAAAGTTCAAATCCCACAAATAACATTTTCAGAAAATAAGCCTGCATTATAGTAACAATTATCCATCAATTAGTTGGGTTCTAAAACCTGTAATCTTGGTAATACTATGCTTACATGGGAGCTTTAGTATATAAAAGGCCAAGAAACTGAGATAATCAAAACCTGTTTAGAAAGACCTAAGTAAGAAGTAGCCATGATCTTTGACAGTATTACAAAAAAGACCTGAATTTGGAAGTTAGAACTGAGATTAAAGAACTAAACAACAACAAGTTTCTTTAGTGGGAGATTTACCAACCTGACTGCCAATTTAAAAAGTTAGAAATCTGTGAGACATTACAGAGTACACCAACTCTGGCTAACTGGCATAAGAAACTGGTGGTAGGAGCTCTACCCACCAAGGCCAGAGGCTATAGAAGTCAGGTGATTGATAGAAAAATGCTAGACGTATCCAAATAGCCAGTCTACTGAATTGGAGAAAAAAGACATGTGTTGGGAAATCATATACCAAGATGAGATAAGAGCACTAGCACCTAAAGCCAAGCCAAGGTTGAATTTTCTGAGTCACTGGTTAGAAGTAAGAGATGGACTAATAAGGAAATAATAAAAAAAAGAAAAGTCTAAATGTGGGTACTGAGATTAGAAGTAAACCTTATAAGGGCAAAAGTGGTTAAATGAGAATAATCTCAACTGCAAGTAAGAGCCTTGGCAACTGCATAAAACCAGGCTAACTCAAATAGAATAGGGTAGGCTCTGGTAGGTTTACCTCAAGGATAGCCATGTGTCTGCTCAATAAAGAAATGCAAACCAGTAATAGTCAATGTAAACCCAGGATAAATCTCAAAAGTCCTAAGGCTAGATTATGCAATCTAGTGAAAGGGCCAGATGGTAGTTCCAGGATTAATATAATATGCTTAAAAATAGTTAGGATTAGAAGGTTTAAATAGGTAACTCTCTAGTTGGGTATAGGTATGACTTCTAGTGTAAAACCTGTTGGCAGACTACTTAAATAGGCACTTAAAAAAGTGCACATATGGCTAGTTGTATCTTCATTGTAACTGTAATAGCAAATGATTACTAATAAAGAGTCCCCAGGCCAAAGAGATCACCTTAACACCAAAAAAAAAAAAAAAGAGAGAAAAAAAAATTTTAAAAGCTATAACCTTTATATACTGTTTTATATAATTTTTCTGGAATTACATCTTATAATTAAATTAGTTATAATTCTTATTAACTATTTATTATAATAGTTTAAATAAATATTTAATACGTACCTATAATATTTGCCTGTTAAGATCTTAATAAACTTAAAGTTATTAATATCAGTATTTAAAATTTGCTTGCACAGCATGCACATGTGCAAGTACTTTTTTTTTTGTGCATAAATAGTTGAAGACTTACTTCCTTTCCATCATTACGAAGCGCACGGTAAAGCAACTCCCAATTAGCATGAAATCTTTCAAATGGTTTTCCATCCATTACTTCGTCATCAAAAGAATATTCTGTAGTCAATAAATCTCGCGATATTTTAGCAGCAGCTTTTGCATCATCGTTTGCGTAGTTTTGAGGGATAAGCAGAAATATTGGAGGCTTACTGGTGATAAAGTTGGAATGACACCGAAAGCTTCTTCAATATCGGTAAGTGAATTAATATAAATTCCGGAGGAAATGAGGTCTCTCAAAGTCAATGTTTCAAAAGTGGTTTCTATTTCACACATCAAAGATGTCATGTTTCCTAACAGCGCCATCTTAACTATAGAAAAAGACATTTTACCAAACAAAGTGTCAAGGTTTATTGCCAAACGTTCAATAAGAGAACTGTAAACGTCAGTATTTAAGGCTGAATCATCACATAAAAGTTGATAAAATTTCTCGAGGGTTCTCGGATGACCATTACAATCCGCAACGCGTTTTTTAATGATAAACGATCTACGGTCACCTAAACTTTTTGTAATTTCGTAAAATAATTCTACTGATTCAGGAAGAGCAAGTCTTTTTAATGGTATCTAATTAATAGGCCTATGATAGTCCGTTTGTTGAGTCTTCCACATATTAATTGCATCAAGAGTAGACACAACAATTGAAATTGGCTTTCTGAGGCTGACAAGGCATGATAAGGTTTGTAGAGTTCATATAGTAGTGTTTTAATACTTACGAGACTTGCATTGTTACCTGATAAAACTCTCATAATTTCAACGCATAGAAGTATTGATTTTCTCGAATGATGTATAATACTTTTAACGGCTGTTGAAGAATCCAGTGAAAATGATTTCTAAATTTTTGCATCCCAGTCTAACTTATTCCCATCGAAAAAGTAACTCCGCAAAATGCGCAGGACTAATCCTTCTCGAAGATCTTTATCTATATCATAATCGTATGGCGAACTTCCATTATATGTAATACGAATTCCGACCGAGTTACGCAGTATATTTACAATATCCCTAGCATACTGTTACTTTTCGCCGCTTCCTTGCTCCTTTTCCAAATCGGAAAGTTTTATTTTTAGATAACGATCAAGATCTTCACTTTTTAGAGGCCAACTCGTCAAGAAAGAAAGATTTTCCATCTCCAGGTGTAGATTGAAGTGCGGCAAGAGGGTATAAATTTTATCGCCAATACTTCTATTCATTCAACTGTTTTCTAATTTTACAATACCGGTCAAAATATAATCATATGTTTGATGTATTGCGTTATCTCTACCCTTTTTTTGAATTTAAATTCATTCATGCACAGCTCATGGGGTTTTGCAAAATCATCCTTGATTCCTTCTTGTTTTTCGAAAAATTCTGCTATGGACTTAGGACTAAGATCTTTCCAATTTGTAATGAAAAAAAACAAGAAAGTATTAGTACAACGAATTAATCCGACAATTCATGCTATGCAATAGATAAGCACCTATTA